TGAATGAGCCTACAAATCACTACATATTTTCTCAAATTGAAGCTTTTACAATATCTCGAGGCGCCCCTGTAAAGAGGCCACGGCTCCCCGGGGCGCCGCGGCGCACAGTTTGGGAATCACTAGACTGGGGCATAGTAAGTCATAGACTTGGTATTAGGGACAGAAACAAGATATACGCGGAGGAGACTAAAGCTAGTTGGCTGACGGTACGCCTGTTCACCATAGACATGGTCTATGTAGCAAAGGCTTGCCCATGATAATTACTCGAGTTCTTTAGTCTCAAGTTGGTCTAGCAGACGCAGAGTGTGGGAAATAAAGCCTCGTGGAGCGCAGATGGGGTGGCAGGGGTCGAGGGAAATACTTGAACCAGGGAGATAGCAGACGGATCCTGAGGGGCAAGAGGGAGACTCTGGTAAGCCCTATGTAAAGAGGACTGCGTAATAATAGGGCAGACTGATCAACATTACCAGCACGAGAGTGAAGGCGGATGAGAACGTTAGTGTGGAGTGTGGAGTGTGGAGGGTTCTCATGAAAGCCGCTCAAAAAGGCATACCACACAACATTTAAATAAGCAAGGAAAAAATTTTGTAGTGAAATTAAACGAATCTCGTATATTTAGGCCTACAGCTCTCTCCCACATAAATGCTACCACATGAACACAAAATCTTTTGACATTTATATATTATTACATTATTATTATTATCTTATATATATATACATATATATATTATATTATATTATAACATTTATTCATTTTATAAATGGTCCCACCTCAATAATTCGCCTATACTTTTCACGATCTGACACGACGGTAACATCAGGACCCTATTCGAGTGGTCCAGCTGCCTATCTTGCCCCCCTTATATACTTCCCTCCATTCTATTTGCTAATATTTAAAATGTAATTTTCAATTAATTCTAATGGATAATCGTTCTCAGCCAAAATTTTCCTTACTTTCCTCAGTTACTGATCCCGATTATTAATATTTGCAAGATTTAGGCTTTTTATTATCATGGATTTCATAATCCCTACTTTAACCTCATGAGTATTGTTTGAAAAGTAATCTGAAAAGAACCCCGCATTTTTGGTTTTCCAATATACATTTATACTCAGTTTGTTTCACCCGTTGGCAACTAGAAGATCTAGAAAAGGTGACTACCATCCTTTTCCAATTACATGGTGAACTTAGTCTTCCCATCATTTATATGCATTAATGTTAGGGAGTTTTTTAGGCTTCCTTTTTCGTGTTCCCAAACGGCCATGTAGCCATTCATGTACCTAACGAAGAATTTAAAAACTAAAAGTGTTTGTTGTATCAGGCGACTTTCTAACTGAGCCATGTAGTTCTTCGTTAAAATTAGGGACAAACACGATCCCATAGCTAAGCCTCGTATTTGTTCGCACAACTTACCATTGAAATTATTATATCTACAGCACATTAATAAATTCGCCAACATCATAATTGACTCCTTATCTAAATTTGCGCTAAAAAAAAATTGCCGCCTTTATCTTCTCTTCATTAACTGACTAAATGAATTCGTAAGAATTCCTTATTAAAAACTGCCATGCTTCGGAGATTTGCTTTATTTGTTGGTAAATATATCCTCATGCTTTATGCATCACGTTACCCTTATTATTGACAACTATTCTGAATGGGACTCCTTGATTATGTAACTTGGGCAGACATAATGTATTCAGGAGCCTGGTGTCTTGTTGAAGAAGTGCATTCATTTTCCACTTGTCCAATCTCCCGTTTATTTTACATTATTGCAGGCAACCTCTGAATTTAGACTTCAGGATTTCTGTAAGGTCCTTACTGATAATATTGCACGTTAAGTTATCGTATAGTGTCTGCATCACCTTTTCTATTTAACTAACCCTATCCATGGCCACTAATGCTCCTCCTTTGTCTACCCTTAATACTATTTGTTCCTTGTCTCTTAGTTTTTTTATCAATGTTGCTTACTTTTCCATACCTTAGCGATACCTCTACATGGCTATCAATTAAAAGAATAATTGGCAACTCGATATCACTCTTAGTCTGTTTAGGCAAACGGCCGGTAAAATTTCAGATTTCTATTAATATTTATTACTTGCTATCCTTACTGATTAGCGACACAAAATTCAAGCCTTTGAAAAAAAAATTCTTTGTATTAATTCTCAATGTTGTTTTAGACAACTTTACCACGTTTTATCCTACTCTGCTTCACTCCAATTACGTATACCTTAACTCCTTGTCTTAATTCTTATGCCCAAATTCCTAAGTCTTTTATTATATTTTATAATAACCTGTTGAAAAACTCTATCATATCTTATTTCGGAATATAGTTTCATCCAGTTCGTTCCAAATTTTCAACTTAATAAGGTATTGGGAATAGAATTCGTTGATGACACTTACTTCTGGCAGCCTGCGATCGCCAATTTTAATTTATTTTTCGCATTTAAGTATTGTTTCAAGACTACCAGTAAATCAGTAATATGAGATGTATTCACCAAATTTCGTTTAAGTGACGAAGGACTAGTAGAAGAATTTTCCCACAATGATATGAGTAGAGCTGACGTTCCCATTGAATTTCACATTGCCTTGCTTTCCCAAAAGTTGTTCTCCTCCATGGTCGACTTCATTTTCGACCTCGCATCGGACTCCCGCTGAGGGTGTTGATAAGACCGATGCGAGGTTGAAACTGCAGTCCATCCTCAAGGAGAACAACTTTTGGGAAAGCAAGACAATGTGAAATTCATTAGAGACGTCAGCTTTACTCATATCATTGTAGAAAAATTATTCTTCTACCAGTCCTTCATCACCTTAAACGAAATTGGGTGAATACATCTCACATTGTAATTTAATCCAGTCTGGCCCTTTGCTAAGTCTATTTGTAATGCATCAAGAAAGAAATTGATTACGCAACTTGGTTAATCCTATTAATTTCAATGACGCTCCTTTCTAATAGTCTCTGGTGCATTTTTTATATCCGAAGCATGTTAATCGAAACGCTTTAACTCCTAGCCACTTTAAACTATTATTATTTGCTGTCATATATTTACTTTTCGTGTAACAATAGTATCTTCAAAACTTTAGGTCACTAAACTTTAGCACCCTATAGACCTTATTTTAAATGTAGATATGAAGGCCAAGATGTTATGGCCTCTGTTTTGGTCGCAGTATTCTTTCGATGTATAAAAGTGGTCTGACCTCGTATTCACAACTTGGTCGTGTTGTTAGGGGAACATAGTTTGACGCACCTTGTCCGAAGTCTTCTGCTATACTAGCAATAATAATTCCCAGCATTAAACTGTGGACTTGTTACATCCACAGACGTTTCGCCGTCATCATCAGTGAGTCTTGCCATTCTTAGCATCAAGCTAAAGCTCATTAGAAGGATAAGGGAAGTCGATCCTTTGACCAACATAAGAGAATAAGCCTAAATATGCAGAACAAGATGTTGTGGCCGTTCGGCAGAAAGTTGGGCAAGTGATCGACTTCATTTGTCTCTTTGACGAGTTGTAGTTTGGTGCTAAGAGTAGCAAGACTTACTGACGATGCATCGGAGCGTCTGGGAATTTACCAAGTCCACGGTACAACGCTGACAACTATATAACTACTATAGCAGAGGATTTTGGACAAGGTGCACCCAATTAGGTCACCATGGCAACACGATCAAGTTTCGAAAACGAGGTTAGACCACTTTTATTTTAAATGGTCTGATACATCGTTCCAGTCAATTAAAACTATGTAATGGACATTAAATATAGCAGAGAATGACTTTTATTGCTACATCGATGCTCATCTTTAATTCTGGCTTTCAAATTACAATACTTAATTTGGTTTGTCTATGCTGTTTTCGACATTCCTATTTCTGCCACTACGAGGAAAGCAAGATTTCTCTTCACTCTGGTGTTGAAAATGCGATAAAATGATACTGTGTTAAAAATTATAAAGTCAGTCAAAAAGCAATTTGTTTTAACCAAGGTGTTCTTCTTCCGATTCTCGAATTAAAAATATGCTGGCAATAAAAAATCATCTTTATTCGTTCCAACTATTTGTTTTAAATTTGTCTACCCTTTCCCACCGAGATTTTCTTAATTATATTTTTTCCAACAAAACTTACAAATTCAAATCTTTGTTTACATAATTTGTACCGAACTAATTCGCATGCTTCGTATGTCTATGTTCTTTCATTTCACACTCAACAACATTTAATACTTCCTCTTGTAGCCGTAGACGCCATGAGTGTTGTCGATCTGCTGCCCGATTCCTCGCATGATCTCGTCGGCCAGTTGATAGGCCCGGCTTTGGGCAGTCTGCCCATTCTGGTGGCGCCTGAACTGACCTGGCAGTTCGACTCAGCCAGTCGTACTGTCTGGGAAGTTGACGCTCACCGTCTCGTTGCGGCGCATGCTCTGGCTGCCTCCAACGCAAAAGAACAGGGACGCGAGAATGAGCTTGGCCAGTCGAATAGTGTCAGTCGCTTGTTTGAGACGGATTTTTCTCTCTCCTTCTGGCTTCGTCGACTCCCAACCGCCGCTGGCCAATCGTCTCCGGAGAAAGAGCCGATTGAGACGATATTCTGCAGTCAAGATGAAAACAGTAAGTCGGCTGCCAACCCCCTTTATCATTGGCAATCTAATATCTGGTATAAAAGCACTGCAGTTTTTTTTAGTACAGACAATTAATTGCTCACAATCTGAAACTATACCTTCAACTATTTGTCCGGTCTGAACTAAACCAAACTGTTTCATTGAAGGTATTGGGCTAGTCAAAAAATAAAGGTAATTTACCCACCTGCTTTTATGTTGGAGTTCTTTTCATTTCGTTTGAAGAGGCGAGTGAAAGGGATTCGTAAATTGGCCTCTCCGGAAGCTGTAGGGGGATTGCCTTGGATCTGAGATTGTAGATTTGTGCGCATAGGCCCTCGGAGCACCAACCTACGACCCCGATGAATCCTTGCCGAACTTTCAACCGTCATGCGACGGACATCCTCAGAGCAGGGCACCATGCTTTACGATAATTCACAAGACACAAAGATAAGAAAGGTGGCCGGTGGCAAACCTACCTACTTTTTATAGTTTAGCCAGGTCCACTTAGTGAGACATCTCATGATTGGGTTGGAGATCATATGTTTTTCCTGCATGCTATTATGACGTGAACTGGCTGCAAATAAGCGTAAAACTGATGCATTTATGACCGAACAGCTGCATCTTGCCCAAATACGCTTATCCCTTCTTGTTTAATTCTGCAATGGCGCCACATGTGATTGCGTTCTATTGCACATGTGCTGTGCGCATGCAAT